AGAGCACTTAATAAAATGCCCTCCATAAATGCACGCCCTCTCTAAATGCACATGTTTAAAAATTTTGCTTATAGTCCTAAGAGGGTGCATTTACGGAGGGTTGACTGTATATTAACTGTGTTAAAGTTAAGATTACTTTTTTGATGCAGTTATTATTACAACTCATATACGGACATTAATAATACATTTATATAGATTAATAATATTATGCTTTTATAGAGGACTGTACATCTGTTTGATTTAGCATATTGACCAAACACCCTACTGCTTACTATCTTAACTACCATTCTGATCACCAAATTTTTTTTAAAAAAATTTAATAATTAATCATCATATGATACTATATATAGTTCTGATTTACATAGTTGACTGCACATCCCAAAGTCACATGTAGACATATAATGATTGGTCTTGCTTTAATTCAACTAAGATTAGAAACTAGTTTGATGATCTTATTTATCAAAAAGGTTAATTACATGTATGATATACAAGGCTTAGGCAGTATTACTAGAAGGTTTTAGTAATAATAATGCAAACGTAAACAAAGAATGTTCACAAAGAAATTTGGTAAAAGAGAAAGATCTGAGTTCAAAAGAAAAAAGAAGTAAATCCTCATCTTCTAAAGAGAAACTGATAGTAAAAGCTTTTTCTAAATAAAATTATAAAAATGTAACAGTTTTATCCTCATTAATATAGAGAACCTATGGATCACAACTATACATGATTGCTAAAACAACCTTTGAGTTATTTTAATAACATTTTATCATTTTTATAACAAAAGAAATGTTTTTCTTAACAACCTATATAAAATAATCAATTCAAATTAAAATTGTTTCTCATGTTGCATTCCTTATCACTATTATTTTCACAAAAAATAATCAACCATATTTATATGGTCAAGTCAAGCATAATTTAATCAAAGAAAGATCACAAATTATTAGGTGAAAATACTTTTCTCCTTTTAACAAACAGTTTAAAATATTTACAAATAGTGATTTGGTCTTTACTTTAGATAAATTTATTGTAAAAAATTCCAAATAGTGCATTATAGCCACATATGCAAGTATTATTGATAATAATCCTAGTTATGAGTTCAATATTACTGATGTTCTTCCATGCATGCTTCATTGCATGTTGTTAATTGTAAACCTAAAGAGGTTGATAATTTCATTCATTTCAGTATAGAATGTACTAAATATAATTCTGTTGCTAGTATTTTTAATATAAATATGCAAATAACAGTTCTTTATCACATGGAATTCTCAAAATTTCAAAATTATTTGGGCCATTTGGGCTTAAATATTAAAATAAGCAATATGTATCTTGTATCAGGTCTCTTTAAATTTTCAATATCTGGCAAGATGATTATTGAAGCAACTGATATCAACTATTTGAGAACATCAACTATTACTCATAGTGCACATGAAAATTACTTTTCAACAATTTCTAATACTTGGTCAATTATTAATGACATTGCCAATGATATTGAATCTGCTTTAACCCAAGTTCTGAAAGTTGATAAACCTATAATTGCCTTGGTTAACTGTAGTGCTGCCACTGTTCTGGACCTATCAAAAAATACAGCAACCATTACAAATTCTGATGTGCAAAGTGATTCATCATATAAGAAAAATTAAGAACAATTGTTAGATTATGATGACTTATAATCACAAAATGAAAAAAAGCAATCAGATTGTATTGACAGTAAAAAAGACACAAAATGAGATAAAGAAAATCTACCCAAGAAAAGAAAAAGAAGTGTTAGATTAACTAAGAATAAATTCAATAAAAAAGCAAAAAATAAATCAAATTAAAAAGAAACCCTACTTGTACACCATATGTACATACACAGATATTACTGATTTTCAGAATTCTTATCAATAAACTACCTTTCAAATTTTAACAAAAAAATTTTTACAAAATTTTAGCATAAACCATGCTGTTCTCTAAGCTCTAAGACCAACTTGACCTAATATTAAACAGAGTAAAATTTTGTTAATAAAAATCATCATTGATTAATAACCATGTATACATATCATGTGTAAGCTAGAAAAAAACCAAATTAAATATTTAATAATATTGTTTATCATACCTTTTTATTATAATTTGTCATATGTATTTAATGAAGTATTCTTTAATAAACATAACTTAGTGTCAATTTTCAGTAAATCTACAAGGTTGAATGAAGTTAACATACAATAAAAAAAATTTTACAATTCTTTATAATTTAATTTAAAGTTATTAAAACAATATACTGAACATTCAATTGATAATAAAATTGAGTAATGTGATGTATAATTTAGTAAAGCAGTAGAGCATAACATGTTAAATAAGCAAACATGTGAATACAAACAATTAGATCAAAACTGAATATAAAGTAATACATTGTGTATAATATGCAAATGTACATAAAATTTATACAAAAATTACATTAAAGAAAACTAGACTTCAGGCTTTAAAACTTATAAAATCAGGTTAGCAGATACAATAGCATTACTAATAGAAGGTGTAGTTATAATTGCAATAAATCTTTTTATAATGAATACTTATAACTGTAGAATAAAAAACAGTTATTAGAACTTGGCATCAAAATAGTAAACTACTTTTACAAGAAACATAAAAATTTATATTATAAGAATACAAAAAAACAACATATTTACACTATAGTAAAATTACTACTATGCTTATAGGCTCGAAACACCAGACTCAAAATATTATATAATTAATTTCATTATATCAAGAGTTCAATCTGTCAAAGGTGAGCTGTATCTGGTACTAGTTTTTTTCATTATTTAACTCATAAGTATACTTTTAGAATGCTACAACCTTTTATAGCATTATTTTAATTATTCATTTGCATTAATCTGGTTCATGATCAAGGGAAGATTCGTTTATGAATCAGGTTACGATGCAAGTTTACTATAATGAGTTTGTGAACTTTGAAATTTTAAATTTATATAATCAAGGTTTTGACATGTAGATCTTGTATAATTAATAATTCAACATTATTTGAACAATTTAATTTATATTTACTATTTAATTTAAAATTGATTAAGATAATGCCAATTCATGTATAAAAAAAATTGATTAAGATTATTATTAATTAATCAAAATTATCTTTAGAAATATGTTTATTGAACAATTAATTTCAACTATTTGAAACCAATTAATCGATTAGTAATAAAATCATAAAGGGCTGATTAATTGCAATTTCTGAAGTTGTTTGAAAAATGTAACAACTTGGTAAAATATGTAATAATAAATATAAGCATATGTTTATTTGAAGATATTTTATGTCAAATCTTATAGCTTTAAATTTAAATTGTACAAACAACTAGAACATTGATTTAAATTCATTTGAAAAGACATGTATACAGTATAGCATTTTAAATCTTTTTTTTTTAATCACTTTCAATAAATGCAAAAGCTCTAAGCAAATGTTATATAAATGCTTTTTTAGACCTTCAAATGATGATAAACATTAGTGTAATTTACATTCTTCCAATCATAATCAGTAACATTCTTCTAGATCATAGCTGATATCAAAAAGATGCTTTTTTTAAAATTTTAAATGATGGCAAAAATTAATGCAATTTATATTATTCCACCTTATATCTGATAAACAACAAGAACCTTTTGAAACTGCAAATGATGATAATCATTAGCATAACTTACATTCTTTTGACAATGCCTTTTTCAGATCTTTAAATCATCAAAAATATCAAAGTTTATCTAGCCACAGTTGATAGTGTTCTTCTAGACCAATTTTTGAGTACAGTATGCCAATTTTATATATTCAAATGTAATTTTCACAGTACACTACCAATCTACTAAACCACATACCACTACTATTTAGAATAACAATTACAAAGCCATGCAATATTTTAAACTAGTTATAAATTGATATGCATAACCATTAATTAAACAATTACTTAATGATCCAAAAAACCAAATTTCTATCATCTTTGATGATCAGCAATTATCATTCTATCAACCCAATAAAAAATCCTACAAAAAAATAATAAAATTGTCAAATATCATGTAAACACAAATTAATTTGCACTGAGTTACCAAATTTTGTACCTGAAAGTCATTTTCTACTATTGTTAGTTATTGTAACTACAACATAGTTCATGTTTATATATTTTATATTCAAGTTTTAATTTGTAATTTTGTATCTGAACACATATGTATCTCAGTTGATCAACATGCATAATCAATTTATATATAAAAAATAAACAAAATTTGATGAATAAGTCATACAGACCAATCAAATTTAAGAGTTTGCTTACAGGAACCACTTATTGTTCCATATAAACTATCTATTTTGTGATTTCATCACTCTATTCCTGATATGACACATTTACAAAATCCTACTTTTAGAGAATATGGCATTGCAGTAGATTTTTTTTCAATCAAGATTTCAAGTTTAGAATTATTTCAATTTATTTATCATATGATAATTCCCAACTCAGACTATTAGTACAAAATATTATTATATAATGAATTTAACAAGTCATTATCCTAAATATACAATTTATTATCTTAGATAACTTTAATGCATTTGATTACCTTACCCAATCCTCTTCAATTAAATATAAATTACTTCACTTCCTTTAATATAATAATTTATATAACTTAGTTAGTATTAACATTAAGAGTTTTACATATTTTTGATCATAACTTTTAATATACTAAACCAATTTGAATGAAACAACCACTATTGGATTTAGCTCACTGAGATGATTCTAACAAGCATAAGATTATGTGATTCTGATCACAGGATCACAAAATTAGGACAATTTTGATAAAAGTATTAATTTTAATACATGTGACTTGATTCTAATTGGCTTACATTACTGTGCCAGAAATCTAATAAATCTAATATTTCTAACAGTTCTATTAGATTTAACATATCTAATATATCTAACATATCTAATAGATATTATATATCTATCATATCTGTCATTTCTATTATATATTTTATTTTATTTTTTATTTTTTTATTAAACTAGTTTTTTGAGAACTAGGCTTTTTTATTCAGTATTGTAGAATATGGTAACTTATAGTCTGATTACTTAAAAAGAGCTACCTTATATTAGAGACTACATCTAGTCGCATGTATACTTTTTGTGTCTAATTTAATTAGTCCACCTATATATAGGTTCTATACTAGCTAACATACCTGCAACTCAATTACAAGTATTGCCTATTTAAATCCTCTGTACTGCAATCCTTACTGTTATCACTAGAACATCTCTGTTACACAATATTAGTCAAGAAGTTCTAGATGCTTACCTATACCCTTAGGACCCTTGCTTTATTTCATGCAGTTTATCTTCAAGAAATTGTTATTAGAGCCTTCTGTATCTCAAATTATAGCTAAACCTAGTTTACAACTCTTGCGAAGTTTATACAACCTCAGTACTCTCCTTTTACAACTTCACTATTATCTTGTCTATCCTTGCAAATTCTTCTATACTACCAATTCAGTTAGCTCTGCATAATCAACTTTATGCCTAAATCAACTGGTAGCCAGGTTAGTGGACC